CATGGGTAGTTTTAAGTGGGGTTATGAGTCCCCGAATAGGGGTTATAAATATAGCTTCCCTACTTATAACCCGATTTATAACTACCCATGAACCCCCCGAAGTAGAGCTCGGCTCCCTACACCACGTGCTTCCGATAGAGCAAGATCCTGGGATGCAAAGGAGTGCGGTTGAGGTCGGAGCTTGCTTGGGGGTTCATTCCAGCTCCTAAACAAGACTCTCTAGGGGCCTTAACACATAGGGTAGGGCTTGGCTAGGGTACATTGCGGTGATGTTCATACGGACGGCAAGGAGATAGTGTGCTAAAATATTCGCACCTTTGTAGTGCACCCCAAACCCGACGCCTTAAATGCAGGGCTCAGTACCCTTCGCGGATCTTTCTTGGACTCCAAACCACGACTCAAAAGCCCAAGATCCTACCAGATGCCAGCACAACTAGAACGGAATTTTGGGAAATGGCAATAGACAGACACTCTACATAAAGGAATGCTGTGACTGATGCATGAAGTTCCCATACCCTAAACCACTACACGGCAGAAGCTTGAGCCCCTCCGGGACTCCGTGCTTCGACCCAAGAATGAACCGGTAACCAATGTATTCGTGACTGACTCGAGTAAGTGAAAAGATTGGGAGTGCCAGTGCTACCTCTACCCAAGTACGGCTACTATCACGAGTACTACTGTAGCTACAAGTAGTGAACTGGGGCATGTTAAGGAAACTGTATAAGAGTCCAAAGCAGCACAACAGCTACTTGCATGTGAAGGCTCCCATACTCATCGATCTGGACCCTGAACTCGACCAACAAAAAGCCGTCCTGACGTTGAACCCGACAAACAACAGCATCAAAACCGAAATTCTATCAAAGCCCCAAAAGACCACCCCAAGAGTGAAGAATTCGAGTACAAGCGGCGCAACCACGGGCCACCGCTCTTCGATAGCCCTGGGCTTGTAGCTGCGGTACCACTCCTGGGCGAGGGTTTAGGGTCTTGGGCTCGGCGCTAAACCCGAAGTTTAGGGCTTCAGGGTTTGCGGTAGAGGATTTGGGATTCGGGGACCCAGGGCTTGGGGCATGGAGTTTTGGCATGTAACGTCCGGAGACGAGGCTTCAAACTAAGGTTCTGAGACTAGGCTTTGGGTTTCGTGAAGGGATCTCTTTGACGCTTTGGGTTTCGTGAAGACGTCAGATCTCTTTGACGCTTTACCACCGCAACCGTAGACCGTTAAATAAGCCCCAAATCCCGCAAACTCTACACCTTGCGAGGTAAACCCCCACATAAATCATCAAATTGAAAGGCTACAGAACCCTAGACAAGCCCCAACACACGAAACCCTAAACCCCCCGACCCCTTAGAAAAAACCGTCTGACATATTCAAAAAGCAGCCTTACCCCCAAAGCCTCAGCGCGAAAGCCCGGAAGCATGAAAGGCCAAGCCTACGCCCGAAACTCCGAAACCCTCAACCTCATAGGCGTTAAGGGTTGACGGGTTTCGGCTTGGGGCTTAGGGGTTAGGGCTGACGGTTCAGTGCTCACAGGACCCCCGCAAAGCATGACGGGCCAGGGCCGAGCGTCCATGTACTCGCGCGGGGTTTGAAAGAACGGCCCAGGCTGGAAGGCGAATTTCAGAGCGGGGTGCAGCAAGCCCACCTGTTTGAAAATTCCAGTTTTTGTGTGCTTTTGAATACATATATATATATATATGGATATATGGAAATATGGATATACATATATGTATATACATATGGATATATGGAGAGTGAGTTTCGTACTAAAACAACTATTTTCTTACTTTTACATTACGTGACCTCATTACAAATAACTTAACATGATTTAAGCACAGGCCTTTGAATTATAGAGTATAGTGTGTGTGTATATATATATATATGAGTCTAACAAATAATCTGCAGGCATCAGGACTTTGCTGCACTGAGGTTCTGACGGCAGTAAGACCATACATCATACACAAAGGACACATGTTCGCCCAAAGAGTGACATTGTCAACAGAAGCGCGTGCTTCTTGCAGACGTCCGACAAAAGGATCACATGATGAAACTCTGCAAATGAGGCTGGTTTTGAACTGCCTTGATCGCGTGTGCGAGCCAACAAGTTCTGGTTCCTGGACAGCGTCACTACAGAGAAATCTTCATATCTAACTGCTTCAGCATATACCAACAGTATATATACATATATATATATACATGTATACATATATATATATATAAGACAGACAGGCAAGACATCTTCCAACATCTAACTCAGACTCATACTGATAGTACACATCTTTCTGTTCGCAAGCTGTGATGGATGCAACGGCACATAAAGCTGTGGACTTTGGACTGACATGACAGTTTAGGCGCGTTATGCAGATATAACATCGTATATGTGAAACACATGTTTCGAAACACTGTGCTCATCCAAGTCTCTCTGCTTGATGTGATTGTTCATTACTTTTTTGGACGGCTTCTTGTAGGTAATACGAGGACGAGAAGATGCGGCAGGGCGACGAGGCGACGACACTAGTACTTTCTGGACGAAGGTCGGGTGAGGACATGGTCGGACTTGTCCATGGCACGAGCACTGAAAGGATTTAGGTGGCGGATGTAGTCCTTGCGGATGAGGAGATTGCACTTTTTCACATACGGCAGGACATAGAAGATGTGGGTGTCGGCGTTCTTGGTTCTTGGTGTTGAAACAAGCGGCATATCCACGAAACCAGGAGAACGTTTGTTCTGCGATCGAGGATTTAACATTACGCAGACGACGAAGATCAAGCCCGCAATGAAGCCTAGGTGCACATGGGCAAGGATCACCGTGAGCTTCTGCGTCAAACCGAGCCATGCACCGATACTTCAGCTTCGCAAAGTTCGGATCCGATGCTTGCTTTGTGACATACACACAATCTATCGCAGATGACACAGTCCAAATTGGAGGCACGAGACATGACCTTGTTCAAGACGGAGTTGGCAACCGCGTTAGCGTCAGATTCCTGCATGTTAGTCACGCAAGGTATCAGGCCAATGCTCGGATCAACGGTCATGATCCATCCGTTTGCTGTTGCCTAGTATGTCCGTCCTCGCGTGGCGGGCAGGCGCAAGCTCGCTGTAATGTTTTCATGCCCATCTTTGGCCCCCTCAGTGACCTTGCGCCATTCTGCTCTGGAGAGCTGATGCTTCTGCAGCAGTTCGCAGAGTCTGCAAGGAAGTTGTTTGAGAGAGGATCATCGATGTCAATGTTGAAGATGCAGTTTCGCACTGAAGTTCCTGTTGAATTTGCTCATATCTCGTTACTTCCCAGGACGACAGAGTAATGGAGCTGTGCGCCCGCGTAATCGCGATTATACCTGTAGTGCTGGTCTGCATCTTTTCAAAGAGCCTGAGATTCCGTGAAGTCAAGGGCATTGTGACTGATGCCTCCGTGGAATTAACATGCATCATGGTAGTCCAGGAAAGCGCGCTCGAACCCCACTTTGCTGATGACAAACACATACTCAAGGTCCTCTAGAGGCAGGCTGTTGTATTTCTTGCCGTGTACCTTTCTGTGGTTATAGTGCTGGTGCACACGACAGTTTTTCTTGGAACAGCGCTTTTTCGTCACCACCACCTGTCTCATGCGAGTGAGTGTGCGTCCAGAAACTTCCTGAGCAAGTGCAAGGGGAGAACAGCATTCAAGACAAGTTCGAACCGGGGTGATGACATAGAGTCTGGAGAATCTCTGAGCCATCGGTGGATGAACTTGCACCACGCAAGTCATAGGCAGAATCAGGAGTCATATCCAAGGGATCGGTCGACGTCGTCAATGTCAGCAAGAAGGCGGTAGTAACAACATAGACCGCGCCATGCTATGCATCATCAGGTCTGAAGCCACCAAGCCACTTCAACGCATACACTGCGTTCTCGTCACGCAGTGAACGCTGTAAAGAGGAAAGGTTGAACTCTCTAGCCGAGGTGCCATCATCAAGTTCACTCTCAGTCAACTCAACTCATCCAAATCGCAATCGTCCTCGACGTAGTACAACGATGTGAGACGGCAATTACCGATGTCCACGATATCCTCCGTGTGGTAGAATTCTGCTAAGCCGCGACGTATGTATATATATATACATACATACATTCATACATACATATATGTATACATACATACATACATACATACATACATACATACATACATACATACATGCATAAATACATACATACATACATACATACATACATACGTACACGCACACACGCACGTCCGTGCATATAGGTATACACTCGTGTATGTCTACAAAAGCATGTATGTGTAAGTGTTCTTTGTATGCAGAGAAAATTATAGATGTTGACGTTCGTATATCTATATATGCATGTATACAGACCTGCCTGGGTTTTCATTATAACTATACCGATATTTACTGTATATGTGTGTGTTCGTTGTCATGCATGTGCATATGTGTGCATGTGTGTAAGTACATATGCACGTATACATCTTTACGTATGCCTGTAAGTATGCACGCACGCATGCATGCTTGTATGTATGGATCTGTGTACAGGTAGGCAGGCAGGAGGGGCGGTCGGTCGGAACAGGCTTTAGTCTCTTGGCTCTGTCTCAGGGGGATCTTAGGGCCTACCTGTGCCTACCACGACATGCCGTTTCGTAGGCTCCCTGCAAATGCTGCATTAGGGTGTGCGTAGATAGATCGATTTCTGTGCTTGTTTATTCACTGCTGTTATCTAATCTATGCATGCGAAAATTTATTGGTGCATTTGTTTACCTAATTGTGCCAAGATTTATGTGTGTATTTATTTGTTTATCAGGAGTAGGTTCGTTCAGTTTCGGACGGTATAGGTTTCAGCCCAGAGACGAACATAAACGCTCAACCCAAAACTATTCGGCTTTAACCCAGACCTACAGCTTAGAAGCCGTGGGCCAGGATATAGACAACCCGTACAAGCCCCCAAAAAGACGGCATATCCCTGCTAGTACCATGTGTCAACCCTCCAAAGCGTTTACCATGCATCCTGCCTGGGGAATCTCTACGACATCCAGAGTTTTGGGCGGGACGTCTGCTGTTGTCTCCTCCATCTCCTGTTTGCTTGGAGGTTCATGGGTAGTTACAAGTCGGGTTATAAGTCCCCAAATATGGGTTATAAGCATAGTTACCCTACTTATAACCCATACTAGGAAACTCATAACCCCACTTATAACTACCCATGAACCTCCAAGTAGGGTCGAGGGGCATCTTTCGTCTTGAAAAGCCTGTGACCTTTAGGGGGTTTAGGGCTTGGGCTTGGTTGGGAACGGCGAAGGGTTTAGGGTTTAGGGTTTAGGGATTGTCCGAGGTTGTTCCTAGGCGGGCTCTATATTCGGCAGCACAAGGCTCGTCAACTAAAGCATATGCCCTACTTCATTTGAATTGCGATGCTTTTTCTTTAAGTAACGGGGCCTGCCTTGTACCACGGACCGACATATGCCAAGACATCGTTTAGGCTGTCAAGGTTCAGTTTTCAGGGCTCGGGGCTTAGGGTTTTGATCTGCAGGTTCAACCATCTTGGCCATGAGAAGACCGATAAGCCGCGCACCTTCCCCGACATCTTTGGCAAAGCAACATAAGCTCCGTAAGGTTAGGGCGCAAACCATTTAACGCTTGATGTGAGCAGAGCACTCGCGTCCCAGGCTTGCGATGTATTCTGAAGCCCAGCCCTTTTTGCTCATCTTCGTCCATCAGTCTCCGAGCCACTCCTGCGTCGAAGTCGACGGACGTCAACAGGCGCAAGCGAAGTGGCACCTTCAAGATTTCCCTGGCCTCCATCTGTAGGTGTGACGCCACATTGCAAAGTACACTCGAAGCAGCAAGCAGCACACATAGACATTCAGGGTGCCGGGGTTTGGGGTTTCAGGTTTCAGGATTCAGCCGTGTTGGCAATTTAATGTCTTTCGATTTCGGGGCTTAGGGCTTGCTGCAAGGTTGGGATACACTCTGTGAAGCTTTGGAAAACCAATGGAATGACGCGGACATACGTCTGCGTAAAGGATACTTCCTTATATATGTCCTCCGTTAACCCTAAACCCTTAAACCCCATAGAGAACCCTAAACCCTACAACCCTAAACCCCAAAAGGAAACCTGAACCCTGAAACCCAAACCCTAGAAGGAAACCCTAAAACCCGAAACCCTAAAAGGAACCCTAAAACGCTAAACCCTAAAGGGAACACTAAAACCCCAAACCCTAGAAGGAAACCCTAAAACCCGAAACCCTAAAAGGAACCCTAAAACCCTAAACCCTAGAAGGAAACCCCCCACTCATTGAGGCTCCCTTCTCCCGCCCCAAGCGTGCGGGTCCTCGGCCTGGAGATCTTCGAAGCCGCCGAATTCACTTGCAATGTATCCTTTTAGGGTTTAGAGGTTTGGGGTTNNTTCAGGGTTTAGGGCTTAATATAGGGGCCTTAATAACTAGAATTGGGTTTTGGGGTCCTTCATAGTATAATTATAATAAGGAGCCCCCAACATAATGTAATTATTGAGGCCCCTATATTAGATGTTTAGGGTTTAGGGCTTTTCGGGATTCAGGGTGTACGTTGAGAGGGCGGTGCTGGGCTTTTTCAAATGTGCATGGTATGTAATATGATATGCGGGGCGTTGGCTTTTATAGTATATAACATCATATGCAGGGGCATTGGGCTTATTTGGGTGTGCATAGTAGATAATACAACATGTCTTAGTATGTAGCTGTGGGCGTTGGGGACAGGCAATATAGGGGCCTTAATAGTTAGAATGAGGTTCCGGGACCCTTTATAGTACAAATCATAAATCAGGAATCCCCGGTCCCTACTGCAGCCCAACCCCACAACCCAAAAGCCCAAAGACCCCAAAACTACAAAGCTTAAGCTCTTCAAACCCAAACCCTAAAACCCCTCGAGGACCCTCAAACCCCTCAGAAGCCCTCTAGCTCCAAAGAACCCAATACCCCTTAATTCAGAATATACCTTAAGTTATAGGGGCCCTAATATTATTATGATTTTAATGTATATTCCTTAATTAAGGGGTATTGGCTTCTCTGGGGATCCCAGTATACTCGTCCGAGTCTCGGAGCATGGAAGCGACGTTGCCGCCTCCGCCACCACTCCTGGGAGGTTTAGGGTTATATAGGGGGGTTAGGGGTTTAGGGTTTAGGGGTTTAGGGTTTAGGGGGTATAGGGTTTAGGGGTTGAGGGGTTTAGGGGTTTAGGAGTTTAGGGGTTTAGGGGTTTAGGGTTTAGGGTTTAGGGTTTAGGGTTTAGGGTTTAGGGTTTAGGGTATAGGGTGTAGGGTGTACGGTTTAGGGCTTCGGCTCTGGCCTCAAGCAGTACTTTGCAGTCATAGGGTTTAAGATTTAGGGTTTGAGGGTTTAGGGTTTATGGTTTAGGGCTTGGGGCGGGTGGGGAGTCGACAGATATACACAATCCGATGCCGCCCGGCTGCCACAGCGCGTAGCTTTGAAGCCACCGCCGCAGGTCTGGGATTGGGCCGAACCTCGAGGCAGCTGTTGTCAGCATTCTGGGAATGATTCTTGAAACATGACCCGGCAGGCCCGCAAAAAGTAGCCATCGTCGTCGTCGAAGCAGGAGGAGGAGCAGGAGCAGCAGCAGCAGCAGCAGCAGCAGCAGCAGCAGCAGCAGCAGTAGGGCAGAGTCGCAAAGACTACTTTGAATATCAGGCACACCAGTCTAATTGTAGTCGTCGTCGTGATCGTCTTCGCCGTCGTCACCGCCAATGCAGCTGTGGTTTTGGCGATCACAGCTTGCACCTAAACTCCTAAAGGCCAAAATGCCCCGAAACCCGAAAGCCCGAGGAGCTAGGTTTGTGGGTTTCGGGGTTCCTGGTTCAGGGCTAGGGAGTGCTAGGGACAAGCATTCACGAACCGCCCGACGTCAAGGCCTGCTATACCAATTCAAAGTCCAGCTTCAGGGCAAAGCCGGTAGGGCCTTTCGATCTCCCTAGACGAGAAACAGAAAACCCTTAACCCTTGTACCTATCCGGAAACGGCACGGATTTACTGTACGGGATCCGGACACGAAGTCTCGACGCGGACCCATAAAGCATGGTGTCTGACACATGAAACCCTACACCCGCTACCGTAGGCCCTAAACCTCAATCTCGGCAAACTCCACAGATGAGCCTGCTGACCGACTGAAAGATCGATCGTTCATAAACCTTGTAAGCCGCTCCAGAATACCCATTCAGGGTTGCGGGCTTGGAGAGCAAAAGCCAAGGCACGAAACATTGCCCAAACACAACACTTTGCTTTGTATACTTGGAGGTTCAGGGGTAGTTATAAGTGGGGTTATAAGTCCCCTAATACGGGTCATAAGTCTAGTTACCCTACTTACCACCCCATTTGTAACTACCCATGAACCCTAAACCCTAAACCCTAAACCCTTATAGTAACCCTTATAGTAACCCCATGTCTAACTACCCATAACTAACCCTAAACCCTAAACCCTGAACCCTAAACCCCAAACCCTAAACCCTAAACCCCGAACCCTAAACCCTAAACCCCAAACCATAAACCCTACCCCAGAAGAACTTGCTCAGATAGGTCTGCGGCTGCGGAAGGAACTGGAGCAGCTTTGGACCTGACTTTCAGTCAAGGCTTCTACCGGTCTAGGACAGGGTTTCGGGTTTAGGGTTTAGGGTTTAGGATTTAGGGTTGGGGTGTAGGGTTTGGGGTTTAGGTTTTGGGGTTTGGGGTTTAGGGTTCGGGGCTTAGGGTTTGGGTATTATGTTTTGTCATAAGCCCTTGGCCTCGAACTCTCGTTTAATGTCATGGCCTTTATGATTAGAACTTGGTTTTGATAT